TTATCCGATTACTCGATTAATCGTAAGAATAATCGATAGATTACTCGATTACTAAAATATTCGTTTACAACAGCTCTAGTAATAACATATGACTGCAGAGCTTTATTCCAGCACTAGACTAGACAAGCTTTAACACATCACATTTTATTTAAATATTTATAACGTTTCTCACCTAAACCGCTGTGCCTGGTGGTGGAGCGGCCCCCCGAAGCGCCGCGACTGATTGTGGTAGAGCTGAGAGATGAGCTGTGTGTTCTTCACCTGGTTCGGGTTGGCCGCAAACTTCACCGTGATCGGCTCGGCGGCGCCGGGCGGTTTCTGGCCATTCAGGCTCTTGACGGCTTCTTCGGCCTCGGCTCGCTTGTCAAACCGGATAAAAGCCACGCCGCGGGACACACCTGTGAACAACGGAGCAAATCGTTACCGCATCAGAAGCACACTTCGGCGTGAGAAGGCCCGCGCTCTGGTGGCTTGGGCTTGTGGAAAAGAATAAATGTTTCCAATTTTTGAGAAGCAAGGAAGTCATTCACCTGTCGTACCTGAAGACTGATCAACAAGTACTCTGGAATTTATGATACGCCCGAAGCGGGAAAACATTTCTTCCACATCCTTCTGAGTCATGGCCTTGGGCAGACCGCTGATATACAAGTTTGCATCCTTTATTGTGTCAGAGCTGGGCCGTGCATATGAAACCTGGCAGAAGGAATAAATACTAAATCAGCCTAAATTTTGGGTGGGATATGAACGAAATTGAAAAAAATTAACCAAAAGAGGCAACATTTGACCAAAACACTTTGGTGATTATCTAAAGTGTTTTAAAAATATTAACTTCACTACAGATACGTAAAAAAAACATTATATCCGAAAAAAGAAATTAAAGTAACTTGATAAAAATACGTTTTTTCTGCCTCTGATTTCCCATATTTTCGCTCAGACCAAAAATTACAGCACCATAATCAAAGAAATCCAACTTTTAAATAACTACAAAAAAATAAATATGTTAAAACGTTAAAAAAATATACATAAAAAGGCCAGTCAAAATCAGACATGTCAGAAAGGGAAGCGAGTGAGTTGTGACATCACAATCCCTTCGTCAGGCTGACATGTACTAGCTAGTTAGCGGACAGCACAGGAACCACAGGAGAGTGAAAAGAAAATAACATCCTTGCTTTGAGAATTGTAGAACACCTTATTGCACGTTACCTTGATAGTTTTGGACTGTAGCCTTAGTCCATTCAGAGTACTGATAGCTCTTTCTGCATCACTAGGGTTAAGATAGTTAACAAATCCGTACCCTAAACTGTGGCCTAGAGAAAAAAAAAGGAAAACAATAAAATAAAACAAAAAAACGTTGTATAGTTCAAAATAATCTGCAAACAAATATCAAAAACCAAAACAAATCTTAAACATTGCATGGTGTGCAAAGTAAACAGACCGTCAAAAGTTAAGAGAGAATTGGATTCCTTCCAATAGCAAAACTCTTATGGTGGGTCAAAAACTACGAGCAAATTAAGCAGGGAGTAAATCTGAAACAGTTTAAAAGAACAGAAAACAGGCAAGGAAAGAGAACCCAGGAAAGAGGTCAGGAACTAAACCTCACAAAGATAAGGTCATCTACAAAGAAAAGGTCCTAAACACTCAAAATAGAAATCTGACGTAGCTAATGAGGGCTTTTGGTCAAATAAATAAAGTCTAACCTATTGACTATCTATAAGAAGTGAGTGCAACCCATGTAACGTCACTGATTGGTTTGTCAGGGTTACGAGGTCGAGATTAGGCCTTTAGGAGTCACATGATGTCTCGTGGGCTTCCTTTGACAAATAAAATGTTTTTTTTGTTGCTGTTAAATCTACATACTCTATGGTTTATCCCTGGCTTGTTTGTTACATGTGTGTTTCTTCTTCACAGTTCTGCATACCTGCCATTTTGTCTCGCACCAGCTTGGCCGACTCGACCTCTCCAATGCTGTTGAAGAGGCTTCGCAGCTCATCTTGAGTCATGCTCTGAGGCAGGTAGTTCACTATCAGGTTAGTCTTTGCATCCTTCGCCTCATCCCCTCCCATGTGATCTTCATAACCGTTCGACATCTCATACACGTCCTGCAAGTCAGCCAGTTGGCACCAAAAACAAACCATGATAAGCAAACAGGGGTAGACAGAACGGGGAATTGAGAAATACATTATACGTGTATTTTTTTTTCTTGTATTGTGACAATATGCAGGTTTTAAGACAAAAGAACAAATCAATCCCACACAATTTAACACAAAAAAATCAATATTTGGTTTGAAAATTAATTCACTTCAAATAGAAATTTCCTTAAAAGAATATTATAAAATGATAATGAATCTGAAATAGACAAATAGCAAAGAGTTGAGTGCTTTTGATCATTTATGCAACACTTACGATAATAACAATAATCTATGCTTGTGTCAGTAAAACCTTCTTCTTAGAGATAAAGACACATGCATGGCACCCTTACAATTTTTAATCTGCCTTGTTGCTCATGATGATTGTATGATTTTGTATTAGGGAACAACATATATACAAACTTTAATCATCATCCCAGTCACTTTGTGCACAAAATTAAAAATCGCAAAAGGCCAGATGCATGGTAGTATAAGTTACTGCACTATAAGCAATTAAATTATTGATTTAATGTAACTTGTTTCAATATTTTTTTAAGTTTATTCAACATAAGAATCTGTGACAATCAGCACAACTAAAAAGAAAATAGAAATCAACTTCTTACTGTTTTTCTGAGCGAATTTAACCAAACTTTATTGCTCTTATCCAGTCTTTATACTGACATCCCAATGAGGCATGAAATAAACAGTAGGTGGCGTTGTTTTTGATAATACAAAAAGAGCAAAGACGCATTGAAATCAATTTTAATAAAACATATTTACGTTGCATTACTCAGGCACTGAACTAGATTTAAACTAAGTAAGTCCCTCTGTACACGCTTACCAAAGCAAATAAGAATTAAATAAATTAAATAAAATTTGAGCTGTACAAGGTGGAAAATGTTCAGTTTTCTGTAAAGTCACAGGAAAGAAGCAGTCCAACTCGAAATACTTTGTGTAACCAGGATATTGTAGGAAGAATGTGTAGAGCTGTTCTTCTAGGCACAATGACAGAACAACACTGTTCCCATTTTTCTTTCCTTGCTAAATTGGTCAAATCTAGTTTGGAAAGTTTCTCTGGGATCTATTAAAAGCAGCACAGCAGGACTAAAAGGGAATGGCAACAGATCAAAAAGCTCCTACTGCTTTTTTTCTAAAACCATGTTTTCAAATTGGATTTTAAGTCGGCTGCTGCCAGCTGAATTAAAATCAAGTCTGAAATGGAAACTAATCCATGAGTCAACCTGACTGAGGACCATTCAAACCAGTAAGGGACTGTGATTGTGTATTCCAGTGAGCGAGACGCACAGCATGAAAGAAAGTCCTGTATCAAACCAGTGAAGGAGAGAGGAGCTGAGCAGCAGAGCTCTGTGTGTGTGTGTGTGTGCGCGCGCTTCACATTTACCATAAAGTAGACTCACTTTTACAGAATAAGTAGACGCAAAATCGCAAAAAGTCTCTGCTGGGTTAGAAATCAGCGACTGCAATTTCCACTTCACTTTTTTTTTTTTTTTATTTCGCAAACAGGTGAAGGACTACTACGCTGCTTGCAATGGGAGCAGGGGATTAATACTCACTTTAAAGTACTTATTGTGTCCTCGACGAACTGCCATGAAGACACTTCACTGCTCCTGAGGCTGAGCGAAAATAAGACAAAAGTCAGAGAGCATGACTGCCACGAAACATGTTGGGCTACACTAGAAAGGACAGCACACAACACGGGAAATATTATGATAACTAGAAACCTGCTCATCTGCTGATGATTTAAAATAAAATGATGGTTCTGATTCAGAGAAGTTGTTCTACAAAGACTAGTAAATGTAATAGTTCATTTCAATCAGACTCAACTGGAAATAACTGTGGAGCAATTCCTATCAATGTTTGAACATGATGTGGATCATGAAGATGTGGCTTGTTTGGTAAAAGGATGATAATGAAATAAGATGAAGAGTGAAAGGAAGCAAAAAAAAAAAAATAACTGAAAAGATCACAAAACTCTGTAGGATGATTGTTAAGCCAATGGCTGGACGAGTCCCATTCATATAACCATTTTATGATGGGCCAAAGTAATGATGCAGCCAAGCAAGGTTCCCCCAGAAAACTTGCTAAGCCCGGTGGTTGGGTGCTAGGGCAGTCATTCATCCAGCAGGCCGTTGTTTTTGAGTTAAAAAATATTTAAAGTTGACAGGAAATTTGAAAATATCACTTGATAATCACGTGTTATTGAAAGATTGGAAGATTAATGCCTCAACACCAACTATAAGGTCTTAAAAAATGCAAACATTTTAAAAAAAGACTTGAATAAATAAGCAATGCTAAGCCTATACGGGGCACAAGTAAAGCCTGGTGGCCCGCCAGGCTTATAATACACTTGGGGAAACCCTGACCAAGGATTCATGTATTAATCTTTGCTAAAAAAAAAAAAACAAACACTTCATTGAAGTAGAACACCCTCCTTCATTTTACTATAACATTATTGCAGTCACTTTGGTGCTGTGTAGTTGGGTTTTTCTAATTAAAGAAGGCCAACTATGACGCTCCAAAACCACTATAAAATAATATTTAAATCGAAGCCGTAGAAAACACAGAAAAAGCAAAGAAAAGTGAGTCCAAACAATCCATTGAAGGCTTTCTCAAGGTTCAGAATTAAACACGCCTTCAAAAACTTAACTGGACATGGATTTAGATGAACATGTGAAAGGTGTGACACTATGAGAGTTTGCAGCACTCTGAACATTTCAACAGTTACTGGTCATTTACTTCATCATGATTTCCTAATATAGTGCGGTCTTAATCAGATGTTTTGTTTCATAAAAACCAATGAGGTCAAAAACTATTTGACCAGCAACCAATAGAAATAAGGCGTTCTATAAAATCTTAACACTAATACCCAAATAAAATATAAGTAAAGCATCTTTGTGATTAATGTGCATTAATTATCAAGCTACTTAGCCACTAGGATAATTAAACTACAACAAAATGGTTAAATACACAGTCACTAAAAGGTGTGTGTGCAGGTATTCGTAGGTTTGGTTAAATGACAGCTACTGGGTAGAAATTCAAACAGAGACAATAATCATCCTTTAGTAAATCAAGTAGGATGCAATCTATAAACAAGTTATGATCCGGGAATTAGGCTTACGCAATATTAGAAAAGATTCAATATGTGATAATATCTAACAATATGGATTGCAATAAATTGATGAAAAAGTAAATAAAGCCAATACAGACCCCAGGTATCAAACCTTTCCAACTACTAGAAAAGGGAAGCAATTACTTCCATCACAATAAAGCTTTCTTGAAAAAGTAGCTTTTGGTGCACTCTGTTCTTTTAGCATTAAAACAACTTGGTTATTTCTTATTTGACCACCTTTAAAGTTCTGACATGTGATGCAATAAACAAGTGACAGATGGATAATTAAGTACCTAAAAGCAAGCAGTTTGTTATGATACAGTGACAAATGTTTATCTGGTACTACAGGTAGCGGTTTAAAGAATATAGGCTAGCAATGTAAACATACCTAAAAATTTATGTGCAATTCCCTTTTGTAAATATAACTGAACTTGAGGTTTCAAGTTTTGCTTTCACAAAACTATATTTAAGTACAATTTTAAGAAATACATTTAAAAAACACAGTAAACAAAATCAACCACATATTCTGAAAATTTCCCCCCACCAAATACCAGTTAAACACCAAAAATAAACCCACTTGATACACAAACCAAACTAGGCTACACAAGGTCCATATGAACTGTGAAAAGGTGCTCATCTCGTTTAAAAATGTACCTTTAACATTTAATATTGAAAAGGATGCATTAAAAAACTATTTTCTTTCATTTTATTGCTGAAGATGTAGAGTAACAAGACCCAATGTTTACTTATTTATCTTTAAAAAGTAGATAACTAATCAAATATAGTTTCACTATATTTATTCAATATTTCATTGGACTATCTAAAATGTTTTAATATCAAGAATGATTGTGATAGTCACAACTTATCACATAATTCCAAAATTTCTGCTTTTCAAATGCTGCAACTATTTTTAACCTGCACACATAATCTTGATAGCATTTCGGAGACATTTTATAGATATATATATATGTTTATATCTACCATATCTTACTGTAGATAAAGCCAATATCTACTATAAGATTAGACTGTAGATGATATAATGGTCTTACAATTGAAAAATATGGAAGATTAAAAACTAAAATTTTGGAGGAAAAACATGCAGATTTAATGCAGCACTGGGTTTAGATAACATTACTATGCCAATAAATCGCATTATTCCAAAACAAACATTTATGCTAGATTTCCAAAACCAGTTCTGGTCCGACTTTAATGCAAAATGTAATCGGTTGTCCTAATAACTATGCCGTTGCCATGGTGTAAAGCAACATCCTTTAAGACCAACAGTTTCCAAACTGGCCGGTAGCAAGATGTGTTTTTTATTATCTGCAACTTCACAAAGGCGCCAACAAACTAATGAGGATATCTACTTGAGTTTGCAGTTTTTATATTCCTAGCCAATGCCGTTTTCTTCGACTCAGTAATGCGCAGAGGCCTGAGTAGCATTACAATGAATTACTGACTAGCATGCTAGTAAGCTGCATGCGTTCGTTCCCGCTCAGAAAGATAAAAGGCTTTGCAGTGAGATTACACTAAAACTAAGGTAATTAGAATTTTTAATTTCAATTGCAATAATGACCACAAACATCGCAAATATTAGAGGAAACATGTCTATCTGACAGAGATTTGCTAGGTTAACTCGAAGCACCGTGTCCCCATTTTAGAGAGCGTGTTGTTAACGCTCGTCTGTCGCGGCGCCGAAACCCCAGCGGCCTGCTAACAGGCCTTGGATGCTAACACCGCTAGCCGTCGGCTCCCTGGGCCCAAAAACCAGCATGGCGCTCACTCGCGTTTTATAACCTTTGCGAAACCCCAAACCAAGGAATAGACCAGTAACGAGTTTCGATAAAAAACAAAGTGAACATTGCAAATTCTTACCAGCTGTATGGGGTACTTGCAGTTTGTACTCCCCGCTCCTATTTCTATTCCTTCTCGAGAACGTTCCCTTCAAGTCGGCCTCACGTCGAGAAGAAGCAGAGGAAGGAGGACGTGATGACGCGACGCGTCTGCAGGACACACTCGGCATGGTCCTAACTTGGCCGGCCTCCAGAATCTCCAGTCAACGCTAAACTAATTTAAAATCCACACCAGAAAAGTAGATTTTTTTATGTGTTCATTACAAATTACAAAAAAAACTAACAAAAAAAAATATTGCGAATATTTTTACATCTACTGGAAACAGTGATCATGCTTGGAAAAATGAAACAATTAACAAGCCCTGTTTTCTTTTGTAAAACGCTATAAGGAGTGCTGGGTATGAAGTTCAACTTCATTTTCAGTTTAAAAAGGGTACAACTTTAAATAAATAAGTTAATAAAATGCATCCTGTAGCACTTATCAATGCTGGGTGTATGACAGTGTGCATTATGCAAAAATAGACAACATCTATAAACAACAAGAAATGTATATTTAGAGCACAAAGTGGACACAGTGCAACAAAAGCTAATTAGGTATATTCAGTTATATTTATTCATCATTCACAAGTCAAATATCAGCATTAGGCACTTTAAAAAAACATACAAATAAATTTACCCAGACCCAAACAATGGATCCACAGCAAGACAATTCATCTTTTTGATGTAAAATGATCCATGTGATTCTGATTGCAATAATATTTAATTCCTGAAACAGTGGTGAGACCACTAGTGTTTGGCAGTTTAATTTTCCTTTAGAAAAGTATGAAGTATTTTTGAATTGAATTGAAAACCTATTTCATATTTGTCTAGGTGTTACTCAGTGCTTGATATTTAAAACGTTCTTCCATCATCATCTGTGTCGTCATGTAAAGCAAAACCACCTGCATAATAGAAAAAAAGGAAAGCAAGGTTTAGTTATCTGCCCAAATATAAATCATTACAGGAAAATAAAAACTATAATGAAATAATAAGGGGTAAATTGCACTATGCTGCAGGGTTCTTCCCAAAAGAGAAAATGAATTACTTTGGGTGTTCTTTTTGTGATCCTGCATGTCTCCTACTTTTTGTTTGGCTTTTTTTTAATCATCAAAGTTTGCAGTTGTATAATAATTCCACATAGAAAAAAAAAACATCATATAAACCCTGAAAGTTCATGATGAGTGCAAATGTTATCCTTACACACAGATGTGTCAGAAGGTGATGTAAATATCAGAGGGCAGGTAGATAACGCCATTACATACTTGAGTTTATAACCAAAGACACAACTGTTCTTTCACCTTCTGATACTATAAAGGTAATAAACTGACATCATCTTGTTGAAACTCTTTTGTCACTTGAGATGCAGTTAGATGATAAAAAAAAAAAACTTCACGGTCAAAGTATTTCCCCCCTTACAGATTTCTTTTCTCTTTGTTTCTAGCCACATGTGAATGTTTGAGCTCCACCCATTTTGAAATCAAAGATCGACAGGTTGAACAAAAAGAAAATTTCGAACGATGATTCCTTTAATTAGGGAAGAAAAAACTAGTTGAACCAAAATTGCCCTATATTTAAAAATATAATTGCTTTACTTGTTAAATCATTAATTTTTGGATCAAGTCACACCCAGACCTCATTGTACTGCCTGACATGTAAAAACAAACAAACCTCTTTCTTAGAACCTGTCTGACAACATGAAGTAGGCAGAAACCTCTCAAAATATTACATCAAGCCCTAATTGAAGAGATCTGAAAATAGGTGAGAAACAAAGTCTTTGACCTTATATCTGAAACTGCTGAAACATCAGCGAGTCCACTTCTGAATAACTGTGTGCTCTAGTCAAACTCTGGACACAAATCTGATTGAGAGCCTGTGATATGACCATAAACATGCTATTCATGCTTAAAAATCCTTCTGTCATGACTGAATTGAAATCATCCTGCAAAGGACAGCATGACACAACTCATCCACGGTGATGTAGGAGACTCATTTACAGATTGTCAGTGTCTTATTTTTTACTACATATATACGTCAAATTAAATACACAGGTAAAAGCTTAAAGACTGTTGTTAAATGCTTTGCACACACCTCAGTCAGAAACCCCAGGAGGGATGTCCACATGATAAACTGTAGGATGAACTGAAAAGCCATCTCCAGCTTCACCTGACAGCCCTGGGAAAAAGAAAAAAGACACATTCAGTACGAAAGTTATATAAATACAAGTGAGAAAGTGGCTTTTATGGCCTGCATGATTGATGCAGTTTTATCTACCTGATGGTAAAGCTGCCATGGCTGGTACAGACTGCCTTTGCATAAGAGGAACGTGGTGTTGCAGCAGCTGCGAGGAACCACATCTCCACCGGTTTTATTGAGCCAAGAGCTGTCCAGCCAGTCAGTGTAGTTTCTGACCCCGCAACAGTGGAGCTGATGCAGATCAGTTCGTTAAGTTAGTAGAAACTTTTCAATACAGGTTGTGATTATGATGGCTCCCTTTGCTGTATGTCTGGAATGGGGCTATTATGTTTCTGAACAGAAAATCATTTAAAATCCTAATCCAACGTTAGGGAAGCGTAATGGATTTTACTTCTTTATTCTGACAATTTAAGAGCCTCACCTCCTCTTGAGTTACATCAACAATCCGAGAGTTTCTGTCCTGACTGCTGCCTGTGTATTTCTGAAACACCTCGCTGAGAGACGCTGTGTCGGAGTCCAACTAAACAAGAGAAAAATTGAGCTTGCACCTTCAGGTCAAGACGTATCAAAAAGGACGAACATTTGTGCAGGTGGAGTACCTTTCTGGAATGGACGTAGGCCAGGGCAGAGGCCGTGCTTCCCACGCAAAAGATCACAACCAGCAGATAAACAAACTGGAGAAGAAAATGTCTCAGTACGACGCAAACATGCATTTACCCACGGTGGCGGGGATAAACCTCACCAGTCCTAGCAGACAGCGGGAGTCTCTGAGGCTCAGCCACGTACCGAGGAAACCGGCGAAGAGCAAGAATGCTGCGCTGCAGATCGTGAAGACTACCGGGAGGAGGATGTAGGTCTGAGAAAAAAACAAGCTGTAGTGTCTGTACTTCATCAGGAGGGAGACGCCGCCCATGGCCATAATCATCCCCACAACCTTGCAAAGGAAAAAAAAAAAGAAGAATGTTGTATCATAATTCAATGTTTTTGGGGAATATCTTTACAAGCTATGAGCTCATCCAGTTGTTTCCATAGACGACCAGTTTTCATGCTGTAGATTGAGTGAAATGTTGATGTCTATAGAGTCCCATAGAAATCTCTTTTGTTCATGGGAAACAAGGCAGTCACTAAAATTAGCATTTCAACATTTGCTTCTTTTGATCCTATGCTTTCCAATGCTTAAAGATTTGTAATTTCAAGTTTTCTCTTTCATTTCCCGTAAAGCACTTTGGATTACCTTATCCAGTAAAAATAAGCTTTCTCCAACATTCACAAACATAATATTAAATGGCTAATTGTTAACCTTTTAATATTTTTATCACATTATGACCATGAACTTATTATGAATCTGATTAAGATACATTAGGTAGACAGAGTGGTGCTTTGTTATCAAATAGAAGAAAAGAAATGTCTTCAAAATCTCTTACCAAAACAAAAAATCTGATCAAGTGAGGTGTGAGATTTTATCCAGCCCCCATTATTCTGACGACTTCAAGCAGAAATTATTTGAATCAGTAATTTAACCAAATTGTTACAAATAAATAAATAAATAAATAACACTTATAGCAAAAATGACTTGGGTCGTTGTTTTAGGAATGTTAAGATGTTTAATTCAGTAAAAGGAAATGTTTTCAACGTCGCGATTTTGCCCAAGTGGCAAAAAGTTTGTAGACCACTGGTTTTTAGTCTGATTTCATGTGAGACAATGAGGAAAGTAAAATATCACATCTCCCTCATAACAGTATTCTTACACTGCACTACTTTGTGTAACTATCACATAAAATCCCAATAAAAAGCGTGTTGTGGTTGAAACATCATTGCTTCTATGTTGATGTTGGAAACAGGGCAGATTCAATTTGAATGTGTCCTTTCCACATGAAGTGAAACTGCGTATAAACAGTTCACCCCGCGTTGCGCTCACATGACGCGTCACATGACAAAACGAGAAAGCTGTGAGTACATTAAGCGAGTATAAATAGTAAGAACCAAGAAGTGAGTCTCTGTTATTTCGTGTTTGGTTTCACTTCAGGAACAAATCGCTGGAGAAAAGGAAATCAGTGTAATTATAGCTGAAAGTATAAAGGCAGAGGTAGGTAATACTTTTAAACAAAAAAGACTGAAGAGAGAAAATCTTACCCACAGAAGTTGACACATCAGCTGAAATATGGTTTTAAGCCGGTTTCCTCTCCAATCACACATTTTGAATCTCTCTGGTCACCGACCATCGATGGACGTGACCTGCCGATGTGAGGATAACAGGAAGATAAACTACAGCATAGCGCTCCTGTGTAGAGAAAACACCTGCTACTGAGAGGGAGTGGACACTTTGATGGTGCTGTCAGTCCGTGGAAACTTCCTTTCCTGCAACTAATGAAAAAAAAAAATCCTTCCCCTGAAATGCGGAAAAGCCCGTCTGGTTTAATTTAGACCCAGCCCATCAGCTTGGCATTAGTTTTTCCAGAGTTGATAAAAGAGATGAAGTCAGTTCACTGACTGGTGACGCTTCCGTTTTTTCTCACGTTCATATGAAAAATGAAAATGGTGTCCTCTCTTTTTTTCTTCTTCCTTTTTTTTTGCACTTCTACAATTTCCCTGAACATGATACCATTGACGCCACTGTTTAATCAAGAGCGCCCTCTAGAGGAATAAGTGAACAATAAAAACAAAAAAGGGTTGCACAGTGCTCAGTTGGTTGCACTGTTGGGTTGCAGCAGGAAGGACCGGGGCTCAATTCCCAGCCCGGGATATTGAATGCATGGAGTTTGCATGTTCTCCCTGTGGATGGTTCTTTCCCACAGTCCAAAACAAAAAAAAAACAAAAAAAGATTGTTAGGTCACACCTAAAGTCTCCCTAGATGTGAGTGTGTTTGTGCATTGTTGTTTGTCCTGTCTGTCTCTGGGTTGCCCTGCGATGGACTGGTGACCTGTCCTGGGTGTACCCTGCCTCTTGCCCATTGGCTGCTGGAGAAAGGAACCAGCATGCCCTGCAACAACAGTAGATTGAAGCGTGTATGATAATGGATGGATGCCAAAGAGACAAATTAATGCCTTATATATGTTGGCTGACCTAAAGAATTGATAGAGCCTTAGAGAAACACTGCAATGGTTAAAATTGTTCCTGTGTTGTTCTAATTGATGCTTGATAAATGTTCTGACTGATCAAAGTTCTAAAATAATGAGGTGCAGTGGTCTGTATCAGAATCTGTTCTTCCTCAGCAGCTGCAGAAAACTTAATAATAATCCATATTTATAAACTAATTTTAACATCTGTGTTTATAAAATAATCTATAATATCTGAGTCTGGTTCAGACTCAGATATTTGATGGTTTTACTTGGCAACTTCTGTGATGTGTTCACTGAACCAGTTCTCATCATTTCTCTGCACCTGCACCCTTGGTGGTAGAAAATGTGGAGGTCAATATCAATGAAAAAAGATGTAGATGAAAAAATGTGACCAGATTTATTTACTGTACCTTTAAAAATTATTTGTCAGTTGTCAGAATCAAGGTGTTTTCCTTTACTTTTTGTTTTTATGTCTTTATATCTTTTTCTTGCATTTGAATCTTTTTAGACATGTTAGAGTTTCCAGTCGTCTCTGTGTTCAGTGGTCTGGATCAGAGTCTGTTCAGTTTCTGCTCTAACAGCTCAGAGTGTCTGCAGTCTGACTGAGGGAAGTTTTTGTACGGCTACTAATCACTGTGTGAACACGTAGTCGCTATTTACTACATGGATACTCTTACAGTAATAAACTGCAGCATCTTCAGTCTCAACTCCACTGGTGGTCAAAGTGAAGTCAGAGCCGCTTCCACTGCCACTAAACCGAGATGGAGTTACTGATTGAAGCGTCTTTGCATACTTTATTATGAGCTTTGGAGGCTGTCCTGGTTTCTGCTGATACCAGAACATAGCATAATCTCCATCAGAATATCTGAGCACAGCAGGATTTGTTGTACACCTGATAGTGACAGTGGATCCTGGTGTAACCGTCTCCACTGCAGGTTGAGTCACAGTGATCTGAGCTCTGCATCCTGCAGACAAAAACAAATCCTTCATTTGTCAGCAGAAAGAAAGGAGAGAAAAGGCAGCAGCACATCATGGTAGAAATGTTGCTGAGTGAATGAACCTGTAAAGCAGCAGCAGGTCAGCGTCCAGATGAGGATGGTGATGAGGGTCATGGTGCTTGTTGCTTCTGCTGGCTTGACTGACAGATCTGAGTCCTGCAGTGTTGAACTCACAGGACTATAAACCTTCTCAGTTCACTGGAGGATCAGCTGACCATGCAAAGCCTCCACTCTATGGAAATCATCTCTCTGCTCTCAGACAAACAGAGACACTGAACCAACACTAATAGATACTGGATTTAAAACTCTCATCATCTTATTGGAAGAGGAGAAAATAAAACAGAAACAACATGAAGGATTTTCACTTCTTGGATTAAAATATTTTTTTTAGAAGTTTTTCTAAAACTCATAGGTAAATATCTTACTGTATATATCAATGTAAGTAGATATTTTTTAAAATGGGTATATGAATTAAATTGCTTTGAAAAATGGTTTTAGCATTTAAACATAATAGAAGCTGAATTGTTAAACAGTGTTGCACAGGATGGGAAGAAACTTTTACTTTTCATTGGTGATAAAATGAAAAAATTCTCAGAAATTATGAATGAATTTAAAGCTGAATTAATGTTGGATGATTTGCAGATTAAATACAGTTTAATCTGTGATTTTTATCACTTTAAAAACATCATTTCAGCAGCTAGATGTCTCCTGACAGTGCAGGAGGTTTTTGTACGGCCTCTCAATGAGTTTGTATCACTGTGGGTCACTTTTGGTGGAGGAACTAAACTCGTCGTTAACTGTGAGTACCAGAAAGTTTTTCTTTGTAGCAAAAGTAGCAGAATTTAATTTTTTAACTTTACTAAGTCATTTTCCATCAAAGTTTCTTCATTTTACTTGATTTAACAATGTAAATGTGGACGTTTATGACTGAGTTTCACAGAAGTTTGTGTTGCTCCACAACTGTAAAAATGTCTAAAACAAACAACCAGTAAAACTTATCAAGAGAAACAATAAAATGTACAGTTCAAAGGTATTTCATAAATGTTTTGTATAGTTTAAGTTTAAATTTCTCTAACATCAAAACTAACATTTTACTTCTTTTCACTGTTTTCTGTCTTTTCTGGGTCATTTGTACCTGTTAATTAAACATTGTGATAATTTCTTCATTTCTAAACTTTAACCTGAATTGGTGTCAAACTGAACTAATATTTAGAGAGTAAACTCAGAGCAGCTTCGTGTTCATGGTTCATTTGTTTTCCATGTAGTTTAAAGGAAGTGAAAGAAACAGATGTCGACGTTTGAACTGTTTCCACTTGAATGTTTGGTCTCTCAGTTTAACCATGAGAAAATCATCTCAGCGATTGGTTATTCAGAGTCTGGTGTGATGAAGATGTGACGAGTAGTGATGAAGAGTGAAGCTCTAAGGCGTCTTCAGCAGCCTTGGTTCTCATGGCTGCGTCTTTTCTCCCCCTCTCTCCTGCAGTGGGTGTGTTGCGGCCCACCCTGACCGTCCTGCCCCCCTCCAAAGAGCAGCAGCAGCAGAGCAGCGTCACACTGGTGTGTCTGGCCAGCGGGGGCTTCCCCTCCACCTGGAGGCTGGGCTGGAAGGTGGGGGGCAGCAGCAGGTCCTCAGGGGTGTCCAGCAGCCCGGAGGTGCTGGGGGGGGACGGCCGCTACAGCTGGAGCAGCACCCTGAGCCTCCCTGCAGACCAGTGGAGGAAGGCGGGCTCAGTGAGCTGTGAGGCCAATCAGAGTGGAGAGAGTCCTGTCACTCAAACCCTGGAGCCTGACCGCTGCTCAGAGTAGAGCTGCAGCTCCATGGCTGGAACCATCATGGTGTCATGTTTTATTCACAAACATCACTTTTCATGTTTCATTCGTCTTCCTTATGTTCTCTCATGTAACTTGGAGTAAATGGATTGTTTCAATAAAAGTGCAGATTTATGTCAATCACTGTCTTTGTATTTATTGTTGTGTTTCAACGTTCATGTTCTTCATCAAACGTCGTCTCATCTTCATTTCTTGAAAGTTTATAAAACGTTTTAGAAACCTGCACATGTAAAAGCCTTTAGATAAAAACTAAAGACTCTTTAGTGTTTGTGAGGCAAAACATTAGAAAACTTATTAATAATCTATATTTATAAAACTAATTTCAACATCTGTGTTTATAAAATAAACTATAGTTGGTGATTTCAACCTCAGATATTTGATGGTTTTACTTGCTAACTTCTGTGATGTGTTCACTGAACCAGTTCTCATCATTTCTCTGCACCTGCAGCCTTCAGTCAGACTGAAGGAGGTTTTTGTACGACTATAAATCACTGTGTGAACACGCCACCACCATGGTAACCCAGACAGTAATAATCTCCAACATCTTCAGCCTGAAAACCACTGATGGTTAAAGTGTAATCAGAACCAGATCTACTGCCGCTGAATCTAGATGGAGTTCCTGAGAACCGACTTGAAGCCTGATATATAAGAAGTTTAGGAGGCTGTCCAGGTTTCTGCAGGTACCAACTGAGATCAGAACCAATATTAGAACTTCCTGTGGCGCTGATGGTCACAGTCGCTCCAACACTGACTGACTTTGATGGTTCAGACTGAGTCAGAAAATTATTGGCAGATGATGCTGAAAAGAGAAATGAGCAACGTTAAAGGAAAACAATAATAAGTATGAGTTCAAAGAAAACTTGATAAATTTAAAAGTCAGTCTGACCCTGAGTGAGAAAACCCAACACAACCATCAGAGCTACTGGAGACGTCATCCTGATGCAGGTTTCAGTGTCGGAGCTCAAACACACTTTGGACTTTCTGCAGCAGAAGAACTTAAAGCTTGAGGAGCAGCGAAGCATCGAGATCATGCAAATCCACACCTGCTGAGATGAAACAGGAAACATAGAGATGATTCAGCCAACACTTCATCTAGTGACAATATTCAGTTTTTATTTCAACTGAAGATCAAATAAAGTATTTATTGATTCTTCATGTTGTCACTTTTCTAATATTTCTATGCTCCCTAAATGTGATGTGTTATTAGCTAAACTACACAAAAACTGCAAATGTTTGACATAAAATAGATCCATAAATTGAGCAACATAAGGTTTAAATCTTTGTAATGTTACCTGTATTCATGTTTCAATGATCCTCATTATGTTTCTTCTTGGTATGTTAAGGTTATCAAAGTGACTTTGATCTATTTGGACCTGTGATTTAAAAATGTGTTTATTATTTATAGTCAAATTTTACACTATATAGGATGCAGAACCATTCTATATTTTCTTTTAAATCATATCTTTAATTAATGTTGATATTAAATCTACAAAGAACATCAACCTGAACACACATTCTGAAGAATATTATAAATTTTGTTTGTTGAACAGCTGATCAAATTCACTTCATTGATGTTCTTCAATAACCACTAAATTAAATAGATTCTCATCATTTTCCTTCAAAAAGCACCAGGTTCAACCACATTACAACTTAAATTTTAAAGTTTATATTTTAGGATGATACACTTGTAACTGATCGGCCATTCTAGTGCAGAAATGATATTTAATTAGAAGAAACTTGTCTAACTTTGTGTTTCTACATTCCTGGATATTTTCTTGTTTATCATAATCCAGACATTTTGCAACGACTTGATTTACAAAAGTTAGAGACGTTTTAGAAAGTGACCATAATGTTTTAATAAAATGATTAAAAACGTGAGCTGTTAATAAAAAGAAGATGGGATAGTCACTTATTTTTTATTTACAACTTAGGCACTCCAGAAAACAAAATAGAAAGATAAAAATAAAGACGAAGTGAAATAAAAACTGACTTTAATATTTGCTGATTGGTTTCTTGGATCTTAGAGGAAAATAGGTGAAAGGATAACCACCCAAAACAATAACTCACATGTTTATTTGTGCAGACGTCATGAGAAAGAGGTTTTAAACCATCAGAGTTTTGCAGCTGTTCTGTCAATAAATAGACATAGTGATATATTTACAGGATGAAGAGAAAAAACAGAGGGAGCAAGTCTCTACTAGAATGACAGGAGGTAGAAAATGTGTTGATCTGTATCAGTGAAATCAGGAAGTTTTCTTTAAATGTAAAAATATTTCCAGATTTATTTACTGTGCCAGTGAAATTATTTGTCAGAGTCAAAATGTTTTCATTACTTTCTGTTTTTATGTTACCATATTGTTTTCTTACATTTTACTCTCCTTGAGTTGCACTAGAGTTTCCAGTCGTCTCTGTGTTCAGTGGTCTTGATCAGAGTCTGTTCAGTTTCTGCTCTAACAGCTCAGAGTGTCTGCAGTCTGACTGAGGGAGGTTTTTGTACGGCTACTAATCACTGTGTGAACTCTAGGCCACTATGGCGACTCTGACAGTAATAAACTGCAGCATCTTCAGCCTGAACTCCACTGTTGGTCAAAGTGAAGTCAGAGCCGCTTCCACTGCCACTAAACCGAGATGGAGTTCCTGATTGAAGCGTCTTTGCATACTTTATCATGAGCTGTGGAGGCTGTGCTGGTTTTTGCTGATACCAGAACATATAATAATCTCCATCAGAATCTAGATAAACATCCTCATTTGTTGTACATCTGATAGTGACAGTGGATCCTGGTGTAACCGTCTCCACTGCAGGTTGAGTCACAGTGATCTGAGCTCTGCATCCTGCAGACAAAAACAAATCCTTCATTTGTCAGCAGAAAGAAAGGAGAGAAAAGGCAGCAGCACATCATGGTAGAAATGTTGCTGAGTGAATGAACCTGTGAAGCAGCAGCAGGTCAGCGTCGAGATGAGGATGGTGATGAGGGTCATGGTGCTTGTTGCTTCTGCTGGCTTGACTGACAGATCTGAGTCCTGCAGTGTTGAACTCACAGGACTATAAACCTTCTCAGTTCACTGGAGGATCAGCTGACCATGCAAAGCCTCCACTCTATGGAAATCATCTCTCTGCTCTCAGCACCAGACAAAGTGAAAAATCTTGTGACCAGAACTGAGGCATATGTACTTTTTAAAGTAATTTAACTGAGTTTTTGCGTTTTTTTAACCACTTATATTAAAAATAATGTATCCAACTGGATACTGTATCTGCTGCAGATTTTTCTTGTTTCTTTAGCTAAAAGCCAAAGTTGATTGAAGGTTGAAGGTTAAAAACTCTTAACCTTCCCATCATGTTGTTTTTAGTTTTATGTAAAGTGTGATACATTTATTTATAATCTTCCTATATTGATCCTCTTTAGTTGTTCTTAAAATGCCAAAATGTACTTTTTTGATCATATCAGTTAAATGTTGTATCTATTTTAAATTATTTATACATTCTTAATAATGATTACAAGATGCATATTTCTAGTAAAAATGGATGTGAAGCGTTGTCTTTTTTCATATTTCTACTTCTAATGAATATCAATGTTATTTTTTGCAGGATAAAGAAAATAATTTGATGCATTAAATAAAATGAACAGAACATTAACTTGTTGCTGTGAGTCACGTTAAATAAGTCCTGAAGCTGTGTCTTTGCCACCGTATCTGGATAAAGTTGTTGCTTGTTTATTAATACAACAGTCTGCATAAAAACCACATAAAGAACAAAATCTACACTCTCTCATCTTGACTATCTTTTAGTATTTTTGGGGGGGTTAAATCAACTAAAAATATATTGTGTTTTTTTTTTTCTCTTTTTTGTTTGTTTTGGGGTTGGGTTTTTTTAGTGAGATTGGAGATGCAAAAGGGAATTACCGGTAAATGTGAATTTTTAGTTTATGAAAGAGGTTTATTTCCCATTCCTGTAAGTCAAAGCTCTGTGTGTGTTTGCATGTGTGTGTGAAACTGTTTCTGTAAGCAGTGGAGCGTCACGTCAGTCTCCTTCCGCCCAGATGTCGGATCTGAGGGAGGATTTTGTACGGCTTTGTAACACTGTGTGCGCAGGCCTGTGTATGCACCCATACAGTAATAATCTCCAGCATCATCAGCCTGAACTCCTCTTATTGTCAGAGTGAACTGAGGCTCTGATCCACTGCTGCTGAAATGACTGGGAGCAGATTGACGGCTGCTGATTTTATAAAATAACAGTTTGGGAGGCTGTCCAGGTTTCTGCTGGTACCAACTCAGATCATCATCAACTCCTGCACTGGCTGAGCAGCTCAGAGAGACCGTCTCCCCCAACGCAGCTGACTTCACTGCTGGAGACTGAGTCACAGAGGGATTTGCTGCCAATCCTGTTAAATAAAATTTAACTTAATGAAAACCTTTAACACAGAACATCCGTCATTAAATGCATCTTCCCCAATTTCCTTGCTCACCTTGAAACTGGATTGCCAGCATAGGCAGCAAAATCAGAGCCATCTTCATTGTGGATGTATGCAGCAAGTAAATGATGTGCTTTAAAACTGACCACACAGCTTAGCGCTTTAATAAAGCCTGATGTTCAGGGAAGCGCAGCAGATATTCAAATTACTACATGGGTGAATGCAGAGCAGCACATCTGGAACCGAATGAGAAGTATCAGACAGCGGACAGATGCTGCCCTCTTGTGTTGAAATGAAGGGAACATGATTAAAATAAGATGCATTTACATATAAAATCACTCTTTAGGGACCATGAGCTTCGCTAAGGAATATTGTTAATTAAATTAAAAATAAAAATGCTTCTTTCCTCTAAATTGTATAAGGAAGTTAGTGTTTCTTGGATGTTTCTGTTAAAAGATGAGCTGCTGCCTTTTGAACCATTTTGATCATGAAGGGCTGGTCAGGCTAGCAGTAGAGGCCACTGTATGTGAGTGAGATTCTTCCAACATCACTAAGAAAACACATTCATGTTTGGTTTCCTAACAGTATCAGGACATTGTACTTCATTTTAGTAAGTCAGTTCATTTGTTTCTGACCTGCACTTAGCAATTACAAGTAATTGCCTTCCTATTCCTACCCTTGAGCCCAAATATGTTGGTCTGATGCATTAAGATCAGACTTTAGTTCTTAGAGTGTAATCAAAATATCCTAGAGACACAATACCTTCACATTGTAGGTTTATTCATTATTGATGTGTATGAAAGTTAATGAAAAACAGTTTTCTTACTTTCTTTATCTTTCTTCAAGATTCAGTTACACATGATTCTAACATAACTGGTTCCAAAGATTAATATCTCTGCTGTGTCTTCATTCAAGCTTAACAAGCTCGACTCCGTTCATGCTTCAGTTTTATTGACATGAGACAATACAGGTGCAACTCAACCTCTTTTGGAAGATAAATGCTTGTGTCATCTGCATATGGTGGAATGCATTTATATGCAGATGACATTTTTATGTAGCAGATGTCTTCTTAAATCTGTAATGACTGAAAATCAGATTCCATACATTTACTCCCTAAACATTCCTGTCTAGATCTACTGTGTTTGCCATTTACAGTGCCTACATTACTCTATTTAAAATGAATCTGCATTGATAGTGTTATATTCTCACTCTGCCTCCATTTCAACATATCATGACTTCATCTGTCTTTGTGCATAAGATCCAGTCCTGAGTTTAATTGTAATCATTAATGAGACACAAATCCCTTCAGCTCCAAGTTTATTAATAATTTAACAACTCTTAGGATTTTATTTAGGGCCAAGCGTTGCTTAATTCATGAATCACAAAGTTCAACCTTTTGGTCATAGATGTGAAACATAGTTGGATTATTGATTTTACTGGTGGTTCTCTGATAAATTGGAAATTTAATGTTGTAGGAGAATAACATAGATAAACAGAGTGTCTTCAGTCAGACTCCTCCAAACTCACTGTAATACAGACTGCTAGATCAAGTCCTTCTCACCATCTACAATAAATCCTTAAAGAATCTGGAATTAATACGAGTCACAACAACATTTAAATTCTCTTTGGGGTCAGTAGCGTACTTCTGAATTGAACTGAACCAGAACACAGATTTCCTGAATATCAATTTAAAAATGTCCCATGCTGTTAGCTAGAACAATGAAGTAACAATGTATATTTATATATATATTATCAGTTGTTAAAAATACAAGACATTACATAATATACAGACAATATATATATAAAAAAACTCCTCCAGTGTAACATTTAATATACTACAGATGATAATTGTGTTGTACAAAGATCAGGTGATGAACAGCAAAGAAGATAAACATGCAGAAGAACAATCATACAAAGAAACACATTTGGCTTTAAGGCTTTGCAGAATAAAAGAAAAACATTTTGAAAAAATAACCTGCATTCAGATGAGATTGCATAGATTGTGTCTGCATCAAGTAATGTAATTACTCAGTTGTACTGACATTTAGGGTTACAAGAAGGACACTGATGTGTTTTTTTCCACTGCACAAAGAGAACACTGTCCCATTCTGGGCCCCAGCACAGCAGAGGTTTTAAATTTCATTCAGATCTCATCATGTAACCACAGATCACCAGGAAAAGTAGCTGGAGGGACCAAATAACAGAGTTCTGAATGTTCCCCAATAAACACTGTCTAGGATCAAACTTGTCCTGCATAATTAAGTGGATTTTAGTAGCGCTCCCTTTGTACGATGAAATTCTTAATATGTAAAGATTCTCAAGCCGGACCGATGTTGTGTTTTGGACATGCTTCAAGAAACACAAGGCAACAACTAACAGGGAACTTCCTTTGGCTTCGCGCGGCTTTGGAGCAAGGCACAAATGGAAAATTAGTAGATCATCAGTCCAGAAACATGAGGAAAGTGGAGCAGCATTTTATGACGACTAGAAAAACAAAACATTGGTAGACTTCTCATGATCACACACACGGACCGCTGGGAGACAGTTGGTGGTCCGTGTTTGTTTTAAAGTCTCTGAAATCAAGGCGGAGGGTTAGCGATTGCTCTTCATTGCCTCCTTGGCTGCCAGGATGAGAGGGGTTAGACTGGACAGAGGTTTCGCCTGCTTCAGGAAGGGATGCTAGAGAAACGGATGCAAGAGATTAACTCAGATGAAATAATGATAATATATATATACTCAAGCTGTGCATTTTTCAAGATTCAATGAGTTTCTCCTGCTAAAAGTCATTTTTATATTTATCAGTTCAGACTGAAATCTTGTTAAAGATGTCGTCTTGGACTAATTTCTAGTTCATCTACATCTACAGTACATATTCAATTTTATGTCACAAATAAACAATTAGGAGGCGATATTTGCAGGAGAATGCACGTAAAATACTTTTAACCGCCTGATGTTCCAATATGAAATCACTAAACACTATTTTATTTGCCATTCAGTTCAGGAACTGGTTAAACATAAACAACGTTAATAGTCTGCCACAAACATCCTGACTCATATCATGCCTTGGAATTAAGCAAATGAGATTTATTGCTCCTCATCGAGTTCCTGTGGTTGGAGAAAACCACACTTTTTTTTATTTTTATAAAGAGGCTAAAAAACATAAGAACGGATTCTCCTACATACCTGAAATACATAGTATTAAACTTTCATAAGCATTAAAGATGACTAAAGTAAACAGCTTTTGTTTTACCTGCAGCAACTCTTTGCCGGACCCTCGTTTTTCCACGTCCATCTCCAGAGAGCTGGACAGGAAGGACCTGAAAACGGGAGTCAACTTCTCTGGGTTCTGCAGCTCAGGAGTCCCGTTGGTGGCGATTAAATACAACGCCTGGAGAAAAGAGCAAAGGAGCGCTTAGAAAATACAACATTATATTTTTTTAACAGTACATTTTTACATTTATACCAGATTATCAAACTAAAACTTCTAAAAATACTTTCTATTTATTAATTTACATTTATGATACAGATGTTTCCAGAAATCACCAAGTCCATGCTGGAAGTTTTACTTCTTTTTTTTAAATGAGCTATTAAACTCGCGCATTCAACTGTCAGCCACATGGGGGCGCAAGAGAAAGGTTCTTAGATTTAGCAGATGTGGAAAAGTCTCTGTGATAAGGAGAAGAAAAACTAAAAAGAATCCTAAAAGCATTGATGATTTGGGTTCATTAACTACGAATTATATCCAATGATTAATTTCAGAGATATCTCCTCGAGTATCAGCATCTTGTAAAGAATGCAAATATTTTGACTCTGCATTTACACATAATTGATTATAATGACAGGAACATGCTGTGGGGCTTTTTAAATGCTTGCACACACTGACAGGTAAATAGAAATTTTAATCTTGAGCAACCGACTGATTATTTGTCCTTCTGGTCTGCACCTACCCTGAGAGGATTCTCATTGAGATATGGAGGCTCCCCCTCCACCATTTCTATGGCCATGATGCCCAGAGACCAAATGTCCACTTTGGGCCCGTAAGCCTTCCTGGTCACCACCTCTGGAGCCATCCAGTACGGCGTCCCCACCATGGTGCTGCGCTTGCTCTGCTCCGGGGTGATCTGAGCGCAGAAGCCGAAGTCGGCTGCAGAAACACAAAAAAGTGAGTTGAGATTTATGACGGGGATGTCTGATTGCACTCGACATAAATGAGTTTCTCAGTCTGCGACTGCGGATGAACAAATCATTCCTTACTGAGTTTGACTGATCCGTCCATCCCGAGAAGTACGTTGTCGCTCTTGATGTCTCTGTGGATGACCTGGTTGGCGTGAAGAAACTCCAAAGCCTGAAGGACCTGAGCAGAGAAAGAGTGAGGAAATGAAGCGAGTTGCCAAACGTACAGCGCTTACAAATGCAGCGCCTTGCAAAAGTATCAACACCTCTTGAATTTCCCCATATTTTGTGATGTTACAACCAGAACGTTCAGCATTTTTTGGGAGGATTTTATGCAATAGGCCAACACAAGGTAGTGCATATTGAGAACTGGAACTTCTGGGTACTTTTTTTTTAACAATTCTGCACATCTTCTAGTGAAAAATGGCAAAACTCACTCATATTAAATGAATGATGTCTACAAACATTCAATTCTTGCCACAGAATCTTAACTGTGGACTTTGACTGAACCATTCAAACATGAATAAATCCATCTAAACTTTTGCCTTCAGGCAGTTTTAGTGTCGGCTATCCCTGGCATTTTGCAGGCGGGGCAAAAAAAATTATTTCCTCTCATCAGTCCAGAGCACAATTCTTCCACATGCTTATCTGTCTTGTGGCTAATGATACGTCAACTGGAATAAGAGGGGTTGAATTCAAATGCACACCGCACTTTTCAGGTTTGTATATTAAAAAAAACCCCAACAAAGATTAATACCATGAATCACAAAAAAATCACAATAGGTCACATTGAGGTTTGTGGTTGTAGCATGAAAAAAAAAAAAAGTGGGTATGAGAGCTTTTGCAGAGCAGCGTCTCAAAACAATCTGAAAAATGCAGTACAGGAGTAAAACTTCCCAGTTAAGCATGTCTGAGTGAGCCTGTTTTCTGCCATCTAAATTCAACCCAGTTTTGACAAGTTTCATGCAGGTTCTCTTATCGGTGCGAGTCGAGCTTTACCTCTCTGCAGACGGCAGCAATCTGAGCCTCGTCCATGCACGTCTCCGTCACAACGTCAGTTAGAGAGCCGCCGGCCAGATACTCCATCACCACGTAAAGCTCGTCCCCGACCAGGAAACTGCACAGAAAGTCAAAGCAAAAGCTTGGTGCTGCGAACCGAGCGCTCCGTGTTCACTCATACTTTATAGCAAGTGTTACCTGTCTACGAAGTTGACAATGTTGGGGTTCTTCAGCTCTTTCATGACCAGGATTTCATTGATGATGAGCTCTTTCTTTGGCTGCTTCTGCAGGTTGATCTGCTTGATGGCCACCTGCAAATCACAGCGTTTAATAAACGTTAGTAGATTAGCATTCGGATTCCGATTTCAGATCAGACAATTGCTGATCCCAACGTTTTTTGTTTTTTTTTACCGAGTTGCTCCTTGAAAATTCAAGTAAGAATCAGAAACGGAGGAGAAAATCAAGAAAGTCTTTGTTTGGGCAGAGATAAGACAGGACAAGCTAACCTCTTGTCCTGTGGCAACGTCTATGGCTGTGTAAACTGTACCAGAGGCCCTGAAAGAAAAATAAATCAAAGTGTAAATCAAAAGTGTCCAGTTGTTTTTGTCTCGTTTGGCGTGCAGATCCAGTCAGAGGTTTAAATCTACTCATCATAGACATCAACTCTGTCAATTTTGACCTTTTGATGAATCATTTGAACTACATTTTCAAGGAGGACAGACTATCCAACCTTAATTAATTAAGTTAAGTAGAGGTGCACAGGTTTGAATTTATTGTGGGCTGTCTTTTATTCAGTAAAATAGAAAATATATTTCATGCTCAAATAAGTACATACTCTCTCAGTAAAACTGGGATGATAAGGATGCAGGAAAGCTACACAGTTTTTGTTGCCATCAACATCTTCTAGTGTGACTAGAAGTATGTTTGAACAAAGTCAAACTGCTTGGTTTGCTGTCGCAGTCCTGGGTTTTGTCCATAAATCCTCAGATAATGTCAGCCTGCGTTTTCCATTCCCAGCAGGTGCTGATGTGTGTTTTTAATTATCATCCTGCTGCAAGTCTCACTTCTGGTGACGTTTCAAACCGTCCAGCTGTTGATTCAAGGAAAAACTACTAACTTCTTCTTATTGTGACCAAACAGCTCAATCTTTGTCACGTCTGACTATAAATTGTTTCTCCAGAAGACGTGAGCAGCTGTGAATTTTGAGTAGGGGGATTACAAACGACCCTCTCCATCTGCATTAAAGTCGCTCTACTGTTTTAGCAATCTCAAGTTCATAACAGGCTTGAGTCTTTGTTCTTGTGTTCCTCCTGAACATCCTGAATAAATTAAATTCTAGCCTTTATATCCTGGAATAAGAGCAGCTCAAATTCATTGCTAAAGACAAAAATAACATGATATTTATGCATTAGATGAGTTTATGTAACTCTCCGTCTGAAACTGTGTATGACTTCCTCTTTGATAGACATCTTCTTTCAAAGTTTTGACATTTTCTTCGTGTGTTTTCAGCTTAAATCCTGACTCACCCCTGGCCGATCTTTTCGTAGCGAGTATATTTCTTTTTAGGGTCTCCGACACTGACGATACTTCCTAAAATGTCACAAAGACAAAAAAAGGTAATAAGTAGGCAGAAACAAATGCAGGTGTGTTTTTTTTATATGTCTGAATTTAAGTGTGTGTGTGTGTGTGTGTTAAACTTACTTAGCTTTTCCATTATTTCTTCATCAGTCATCTTGCCTCCCTTCGCTTTCTGTTGGTCAGCTGCCTTGGCACTTTCTGTTTCTTGGGCCGGCCTTGTGTACATCTTTAAAAAAAACAAGCAGGAAAAGTAGATTTATGTCGTTTTAAAGGAACTGTGAATTGTGGGATGAAGTTCTAGTTATTTCAGGTTAATAATCATAAAAGTAGGATCATCTATAACCAAACCATGCTCACGGATTTTGTGTGCGCTGGCCGTGGCGCCACGACCGGAGGCGGTGTATCGTCGTCCTCGTCGTCATCGCCGTCTCTGGCTAACGGAGAAGTAGTCGTATCTTTCTTGCCCGGCTGCAACAGTAACAAAATGCAAACAAAACAAAATGAAGCTCAGGGAAAATGAATTACTTTGTTAAAGTAATGAAAAATGCTACTTACCAACTGAGAATCTTTATCTGAAGGAGGAAAAAAAAGGGGGGAAAAGAAAAGTTTAAAGCACAGCTACAAAACTAGTCTGCAAGTTGTTTGCTGTAAAGATGGGAAACTGACCTGAAGTAGGAACATCCATGTACTTCTGTTTTCCGCTGGTGGAGTCGTAGAACTTGAGAACGTCGAGGACCGCCTGCGGGTTCTGTTTCTGCTCCGACGGACTGATGTTGGAGTTCTGAAGGAGCCGGGCCCACTGCTCCGGCATTCCCTGCACACGCAAACATGGAGGCAAAGCGTTTACTGATCTGTCTCCTCTTTAAAGATAAAAACACACCGTAACACGGCGCTAAAACAGCCCACGACTCCAAATCACAAGTGATCAGTTACATAACATGATGGGTTCTGAGGCCGATTTAACTTTAAGTTTTTAAAGTTAAAGACTAAATCATAAAGTTTAGATCTAAATAAGGCCGGTCTCAATTCTAGCAGGAAATTCAAGGGACTCCCCCTGAAAAGTTATGAAGAAGATATCAAGTTCTCTGCAATCTTGACTCCATCTCCCCTTAGAGATACACTTAAAACCTTTAAAGCTGCTCAAATGTAAAAAAAAAAAAAAAAAAAAAAACCTGCTTTTTTACATAATTATGTTAAGCTCTCTTTTAAGATAAAAACTCAAAAGCACCACAGCGAAACCAAGATTAAAGTATAACGAGCCTCTGTGTCTCATCTTTGATCAAAATGATAACATAGATATTCACTTCAGTTTATTTATGTAGCATCAATTTACAACAAAAATCATCTCAAAGAAAAAAGCTGTATATAACATTATGTTCACTACAATAATCAATATGTTGAATTATGCTACAGTAGTAGTAATAATTGTTGCTTTTCTGTTTTAAATATATAATTTTAGTAGTTTTTGTTTTGAATTTTGTCGTCTTTTTTCTCAAGGTTTTGCCTGATCCAGCTGCAGACATGGATGAGTTTAGATGAGTTAAACCACTTCGTGATTTATGAAACAAACACATATCTGCCATAGTTAAGCGGCATGTTCTCCAGTCTTTCCCATTTTAAAATGTGACAGAGAAATCGGGCCTCTGTGTCACAACATAACACAGCAAAACAGTTGTGGATTATTTATTAAAATGTTCCTGAACATTTTGATTAATTTTTTTTAAAAAGGAGAGCAAAATGTTTCATTTAAAAAAAAGTAGTAATAGTAGTAGTTTTTACATAATTATACAAATATCTTTTTTTAACAAAAAGGTTCCTGTGAAGCCACAAATTTTCAAAAATTTCAAAAGCGAAATTGCAGCTGCAGTTCACGTTTACATAGAAATTAATGACAATATCTGCAAAACACGAGGCTGATTTTAAGAGATTAGATGTTGAGTGGGGGTGTGGAAACGGTTAAATCACTGAAAAACGAAAGTAATCTAACTTTAACTTGCTTTTGTGTGACCATCCTGTTGGGGAAAAAAGGAAGGAGAGGAGCTAAATAAATTAAGAAGTTCATAAGTCACATAAATAAAAATAAAGGAACTCTACTATAAAAAAATAAACATTAAGCTTCATAATCAGAGTGAGACAGAAGTGAGACAGAACCAGAACCAAATGAGACAGAACCAGAACCACAGCTGAGTTGATACTAAAGGAGAACATAAGCATTTAAATGAGATTTAATGCCGATAATGTCACAATGAAATCCAAAATATATCACAGAAACCAAACGGTTCCTATTTTACAGCTTTTGTTTCCTGCATCCACAAATAAATTATAGACAAAGCCATAACAACGCTGCAGAATCACCATGGCAACGCAGGTCAGAGAGGAGTTAGTTACACACTTAAGTGGATGGTTTTGATTTTGATCAAAGGATTACTTATCTCAAAATAATTGTATCCTTTCATATCAATGATCATTTATGCTCTACAAATAGTACAGATCTTGTAGCTGCAAGCTCAGGACTACGGATGGTTCACATGTGCTTATTCTAAACTACAAAATGTATTTTTACCTAAATTCTGGGTTAAGATTTCATTGTAATAGTTGCGCTTTTACTAGCAGAGACTGTATTAAAATTTCGATATGATATTTTTGCCGTATCGATTTCCCCCATTAACTTACAAACAAATAGGCTGTGCTAACCAGACGTCTGCTGAAGGTGTTGGTAGAAGTGGATCTGATGAAAGGATACCAGAGTAAGGAGATGTTAATCCCAAAGCAAGCCACACTTTTTAGATTTTTACTTTTGAAAAGTTTTGACAGATACGCAACGCATCTTTCCTCGGCCTCCTTTCAGTTTAATCTGTTAGTTTTGACTGCTGCGCTTGAACTTTAAGTTTATATATTATTCTAAATATAAGGTAATGCCAAAGGCAGCAACAGGAACCCACTTCACCAATATGGCTCTTCACAAACACTTCAAAACTGTCCCGTAAATGTGCTACTTGATGAACTTCCTATCGCCTGAAGGTGTGTAAACAGACACTCTGCACTCATATTAAGGGGAAAATGTCATTTTTGTATGGAAATCCAGAGTTTGCCCGTGAAAAAGCAGGGGGTGAATCTTTTGTTCATCCCCAGACAAGAGTGCTGTTAAATTGTGTCGATATTAAGCTTCCCTCGCTTTAATTTTGTCACACAAAACTGTCTTTTTTCCTTCCTTTCAAAGAGTAAGTTTGCATAGGTTCCTAATAAAAATACGTTGAAGTTTGTGGTTGTAATACAGCAAACTGAGAAACAGTTCAAGGGGTGTGAAAACATTTGCATGTTATTGTAATGAGCCATAAAACACTTACAGTGAATTCACCAGTGACAGAATCAAAACCAACATGGATGGTGTGTTCAAAGTCTGACGGGGAAGAGATTTCAGGCCTGTCTTTGTCCTTATCCTTCTTCTTAGATCCTGCAGGGATAAGGTCAAAGGTCATTCTTCACCCCCTCTTCCACCTTTTAACTAACTGTTACATAAAGTCTGTAAAGCATGGAGATATGCTGTGATAATCTGACCTTTATCAAATATGGAGATGATTTTGTTCCTGGCCTTCTTCTCCTCCGGTGCAGACGGCAGCGGCCGAGAGTTGTGATTGGCCGACTGGGGGTCCTTGGCTCCTCCTCCTTGGCTACTCATCCTGACAGGGGGAGCGGGGGGCTTGTCCTCACACACTCCGCTGTCACACATCTACACCTACGTTCAACCTGCAGCGTCAGAAAGAGAAGCAACAAATGTAGGATCCATGCAACAGGTTCACTGAACGTCAAAAAAAACGAGAGAGAAAAAAACCCAGAGCTCACAGCTTCCTGTTTTTCGGTCATGTTTCACAATGCTAAAGCCAACTGTTGCACACCAGCCCCCGCTGCTACAGAAAGACAGCTGCAAACCAGTAAAAACAGACAGAAAGCAAAGGCGAGAACTCACAGAGATTTATCCAGTCCGTCCATGCTGTAAATGAAGGTAAAAGCTGGTATGAAGGGAGCAGAGTGAGCAGGAAGCAACGCTGAGTGAATAAAGTAGCGTGCTGAGTCTCGTTCGAAGTCGCAAATGAATGAGGAAGGAAAGAAGGCAAGAGAGAGAGAGCGAGTGAGAGCGAGTGAGAGAGAGAGAGAGAGAGGAGTGTGTGCAGAAAAGTGGCAGACAGTGAAGTGGTGTGAACACTCGTAAAATAAAAGTTTGCCTCTGTAGCTACAAGCATGGTTCAATATGAGGTTCTCACAATATAACATTTAGTAAAATGACAACAGCTTTGTTCAATTTAAAGCTAAACGCACGGCATGGTTTTATTACTCTTATTTGAAAAAAAGAAAACAATTAATCCAAATGCTGAAATATATTAATGAATGCAGTTAGATTAACAAATCAATAGCATTGATTTACTTTTTCGAAAATATAAGCGAAAGTCAGTTGTAGTTGTGACGTTTAGTTTTTATGTCACTCCAGACAAGCAGCAGTCCTTTAGCTATCACACTATAACTATCCTTTAGAAACATTTTCAAACTGGTCAATTTGTCTTTGAAAAGTGGCGCAGCCTTAATTCAGTCAGCTGACTGTGCAGCAACAGGTGTGGGAGGGTGATTGCAGCACTAAGATTAGAAAAATAAAATAAAAATCCAGTAACATTCTTGAACTTTCTATCTATTAAGTGTTGAAGTTTCGTGATCTGGTCATTCACAGCTTTCATTTATGAACAGCAACCGCAACCAACCGACTGCTGCTGCTAAAAAAGCTGCACTCACACCTTCCTCCAAAGTGTCATGTTTAATAGAAACCCACAAGCTGTCAGTATCACTTTAGTCAGGTGAGGAAGGGGCCGGGGCTTTTTTCATTCCTGTTTGATTTTCCTGAAGACTGGCTCAGTAGTTTCTGCTTTAAGATGTTCTCTATGTGGGTGGATTGGTTTTCAGGCACTCTAGTTTCCAAAACGCATACGTCAATTGGCCAATCTTAACTGCGTCTGAGTAAGTTTGAACAAAGTTGTGTGTCTCTGCGTTTCCAGAGTCCTTACATAGCAACCTGTTGAGAGCTTACTTCAAACACCACTAATTGACTGCTGCAGACAGGTAGACTCTGCACAGCTTAAGTGGGAACAGAAAATGTGTGGCTGCGTACTGTGGGAACAGGCCTGCAAAAATATTAAAGGGACAGTATTATGTGTTTAAAACAATTTTATAACACAATCAAGTAACTATGTGGTCTTCAGTTAATGTGAAATCAAATATGATTTAAAAGAAGCGATTTAACGCCTTGAAATTGGCCTCCTCCTTCAGGAAGTCATCACAACATCGCTCCTCTATCAACGTTTCTACTAGCGTTTCATTGAGAAGTAGCTCGTATGATGAGCTCAGCAGATGTGCACTTCCACCAGGTGTTTGCTAATTGTTGCTGGATAGTCTGAAGGAGCTGAGTGGGGGAGTCGCAGGTTAGGGCTGCTCTGTGAGGCAGAAGCTCGGAAACTTGGAAATTGCAGCTCCAAAGAGGAGCTGCGTTTCGAAGAGGGCACTTGGTGAACCCAGGCGCATTTAATCTCCCATGGCAACCAAGACCACATGCATGAAGGAAGCAAAGCAACACTCCAGGTATGTTTTGATGAGAAAATAACATTAAAACATGATGTAAACCTTCAAAAAAAAAAAAAAAAGTATTTTTACCTAATATGGCCCCTTAAAAGCTTTTGCTTCTCCAAATTTGGGGTGGAGTTTTTTTTTTTTATATTATCTTCAAACTAAAACGTTCACCATTGGTGATGAATAATTATTTCATCAATACAAGAAACTTCTGGTCAATGTTTAGTTCATATATCTTTTGCTTTTGTTCAGATAACTGAGTGGTGATTCGGTTAAAACACCACAATGCACTTTAGCTGATGGAGTTAAATCTAATTAAAATTTTCATAGTAGCAAGCAATTTTACATTTGCCAGTACTGATAAAACTAATGCACAGAGTATGAGTGTAAAAGTCCTTTGGGAGCCATGATTGACTTCCCTCTGCTACCCTAATATGGTAAAAACTGAGATTGCAGGCAGCCTCATCCACTCGTACAGACGCACACGCAAAAAAACAAAAAAACATCAACCTCAAAAGCGCCTCATCCAGTCTTGCAGAGCAAGCGGTTCGATCAAGTGTGAGCTTCAAGCTGCGCTCTGGGTGACATCACAGACAGGAAACAGGAAGCAAACAAAGGTTTCCTCACTTCCTGCGTCTGACCGCCAATGACGGAGCTCGCAGAGGAACAAAAGTGACAAACGTTGCTCGGGTGGGTATGACCTCTTCTCCACACACAAACCCTCCATCTGCAGGTTCTTTGCACACCTCACCCACTTCAGTTGTTACATCCGAAACCAAACTCTACTACTCCAAGTGTCTGAATCTAGACTCAATTCTTTACAATGATAAACGGCATGCACAATCGATCAGTTGCACGTGGAACAACTTGGGAAAATAATGCACAAGCTGAAAAAAAACCCTTCAGAAATAATTTCTGTTCGGGAATACATTGCTTTCTTCTATGAGACATTTCAGAACCAGTTGGCTGAACTCGTGTCCTGGTCTTTATCCTGAGCAGCAAGACTAAAAGAGATGCCTATAAATACTTTTTCCATTGTAGATCATCTAAACCCACCACAGACCTCTTGCACAAAACGACTCACTCAGCTTGCTCCGTTTATGGTCTAAGTCGTCAAGGACTCACCTGTTTGCAGCCTCCTCTGTGTCCTACAGAGGATATAGCAAACAATGAATGAAGCGTTGTGTCCCAGCTGAATGTGCGCACTTCTTTCTTCAACACTCGTATCCTTACTTCGCTCTCTCGCTTCCACTCTTCCTCTCTTTTTCACCCCAATCAGGGCAGGTCTTTGCAGGCTGCCTCATTCCTCGGCTTACTTGCACGGGGGCAAGCACCTTCTTGTCCAGGCAAGATAAAATTATGCCCAGTTGAGAGACCTAACGTGAGCCTCCAGTGGTCGTTCAAGTGCGTGGGGCGCTGATTGTTGGGTGCAGGCGGCCAGGTTGGGACATGTTATTCCTGAGTCGGAATTCCATAGCTGCAGGGCTGCGGCGATGTCTGGAGGAGGGTGTGTTCACACTTCGCCTTACCAAAACACACACACACACCACACACACTGTAGCCTCATGCATGTCTGTCCGTCACAGAAACAGCTCGAAACACACATTCCTCAAGTCAAGTGAGGCTCCATAATGAGCAGCTGAAGATTTTTATATAGCTTCCAGGTAGGGTTGGAGACTTAAGTAGCGAGACTTTTATAAGAACGGACAGATGCAGATTCAAGCAATGCGAGGTTTTACGACTGCATCATGTCAGAAAATTTAGGTTTAATATTCTTTTTCTTAATATGATTTGCTTTTATCAAAAAAGGAGACATATTTCTACTTCCAGCCCATGATACTCTTACAAAGTGCTCACACTTTTCTCTATTTCCTCTAAACTTGTTGCAGCATTTCAACTCTTGCTATCAAACTGCTTTGTTCATAGCATTAGCTTATCTTTATGATTATTCTCTTTGTATTTCGCTTTCATCCTTTCAACTGATTTTCATGCTTATTGTTTATATCTACTGTCTATTTTCAATACATTTCTGGAGTTTTTTTTTTTTTTTTTTACAATCTTTCCCTGTTTTTGCTGTGGTTTCATCCTGTAATCCTATTGGTTAGTGTCCTTGCAATATTTGATCATTTTTGCAAGTGTTAATCAGATTTTGCTTGTCTGTTTTAAAAACATATGTCACCAATTCAACTATCAGGTGTGACCTTTAAAAAATGAAGAGGGTGATCTGAGAGACTTCCTGATCTTGAGTGTCGCTGAGCCGTCTTGGACAAAAATGAGAAAAACTGAGAGATTGTGGGAAATTTGATAAAATTATTTCTGGTATTATGTCTGCTACCCTAGTGTGAAAAACTAGAAACAATAGATGTAATGATCAGCCGTATAAGAAATACATTAAACATTTCACATCTATCTTCTAACAAGAGCGTGGGTGAGAGCTTGATTCAAGGGTTTGCGATTGCTAATGTTTTGGGGCATTTAAATATAAAATATTGAAAATCTTTCACTCTGCATGTTGAGTAAATACACATTATTAAATGTTAAAGATGGGAAAAATGGAGCAGGAGACAGGCAGGTCAATTGGTACTGCATCTAGGGTGATGCAGTCAGTGTACCAGAACCGACTGAGTCAGTGGAAGATGACGGACGGACGAATGTATGGGACGACATTAAAAAATGGGACACACATGACAGTGTCACATCATGTAATATAACTATATTAAGACTTCAAACGAACCAGAAGTCATAGTATTTACATTTTTATAAAAATAGCATTTGGAGAACTAACCTGGTGATGTTATCAACTTAGTGTTTAAAATAGAAGTTGATAAAAGACATTCATACGCTAAGCTAACGTGGGTGGTGTGCTTTTTGCCAATTGAGTAAAAATTTCAGCTCCACTCACATTAACATTTTTTAAAACTCTGGCATTTGCATATCCATGACTTTTGATTGTTTCATCTGTACTCTCAATTCTCGACAGCCAGTAAAACCTCTGCCTCCGTTCCCCGTCTGTTCTCAGTTTACAGAAGCTCTTTACGTGCATGTGCCTCACAATCAATTACATCCCTCTGCCCTTTCATAATTTCTGTTCCCTATTTTCCACCCTCTCTGTGCATCAAGAGTACTTTCTATTCCCCGTGCCTGGCAGCCGTCAAGGGAAGCCCACTTCCTCATCCTGGAACTCCCCCGAGCCCCAGAGAGTCACAGGATCTGGGCCGACCAACCAGAGAGCTGCAAACACAGCCGCCAAGCTGTTTACAGGAAGTGGACAACAAGCCTTTTGTGTTCGACTTCTATAAAAGGATATTCAGAGGAGGACTTCCTGAAAGGAGTCCTGGAGCTGACACACTGCTCACTTCCACCCTCGCTAATTAACGAGCACAGAACCACCTCATCCCCATGGCCAGATATTAAAGCATACGATGCGGCGCAGGGTTCACATGAACTTTATCAATGCTTTTCACCACACTGCTCTGGCTACAAGTGAAGCACAAACTCAGAGTGCAGCTGCATACCTTATCCTGTTATTCAAACAGCTGCCTCATCCCTCTGTCAATATTTTGAGGGCTGAAAATCATAAATCTGACAATCAGGGAGTGTGAAGCAGGTAGAAACGTGACCTCAGGACACACAGTCAAGGTGTGTACGCTATTTTGGTTTGCTGAGCAGATCACTGGTTAGGGCTAAAAGTCTAAAAGAAAAAAAATCACAGATACAGATTTAGGCGTGATGCATTACTCTGTTGGCAGCAGGTCCCACCTAGCTCCAGTTTCTTTTTGTTAGATCATATAATGACTTGATTGAAATCACACATGAATATTTTACTATTATTTCAATAGAGAGACAAACAACTCTCTATTATTATTTTAATAATAACCCTGTTATTATTAAAATAATAGTAAACTTCAATTCTATTTACTTCAGGTTGGATCTTTTCTGATCTTTCTGATCTTTTTGAGTGATTACATTATTCACTTATTATATTGTCTAAGTGTAGCGTTGTTACTCTTCTTTTGCCTCTAGTATAGTCCAAGAGTAGCACTGTCACTGTAGAAAGAGTAACGTGGTACTCCCCAATGGTAACATTACACTGTATAACATGTTTACACATGTTACATGGTACTACACTTGGAAAGTCATATGATACAAATTCATCTGAAGAAAATTATTTTCGCATTGTAAAATGAAGTGAACTTTTTGGGTTGTTTTAATTAAAACGAGGCTGGGTTGTGTGCAATTACTGACGTCAGACTCACATTGACACCCCTGGATGCTCCACTAAGCTTTGTTCCGTTTTGTTTTATATGTATGGAATAAATACCTTCATATTAGAAAACAAAAATACTCTCTCTGTAGTGTTGCAGAAACAACAAATGACAAGAGGGGCATAGATTTTACATACCCGCACCAGTCGGCCTTAGAAGTAGGCATTCAATTCAATGAGGCTAAACACTCGTATCTCCGTCCAGTCCCACCCTAGTTTTAGTTTAAATAAAGTTCAATTGTGAAGCTAAAATACTGAAATAAAATATTCCAACATGAGCAAAGCAAAAACAAAAAATAATACCGTCTTCTGACACACAGCTCCTGAGTTGTGTGTGTTTCGCCGGGAGCTCCCAGCTGAGTTTTTCTCCCCTCTGTCTGTTGCTCAGTCTGGGGAGGAACCGGGCTCAGAGGAAGCGAAACAGCGCAGGCGCAAACTGGCGACTCATTACCTCGCGGCTTACGTAACACTCAAAATCTTGTTCGCGGGAACAACCACGGGAAGAAGATGTTTGATTTTCAGAATAAAAAAGTGTGTGGAAAATATTTTCACATTAATAAAGATTCTGACGATAACATGACTTCCCTTAGTTTAGCATAAATATCACATCATCAAAGTGTAAATATGTTTTAAATGTTTAGTTTGACAGTAATGTGGAGGTGTTTTAAATATAAAGTGTATTTTTTTATTTTCTCAAACTAAATTTGTCATTTTTATGTAAATAACTCTACTGATTTGTTAAGACATAATTAAAAAAAAATCCAATTTATTTCTACTCACACATGCTGTCTATTTTAAACAACGTACTCTTTATTTACTGTAATCAATGCTGCCACAGACTTGGACTTCCTTCTGAAATATTCATACAGTCTCTGCCTGATCGATAACAAAACGTGATAAATCCAATGTCGAAGCAAATAGAAATCTATCTCCGCCAGCCACAGTTTGGATTAACTGAAAAGTCAACGTAACTCTCGACTACAGAGTAAGTGTTTATTTTGAAAGTCTACACCGGAAGTACAACTTTATAACATGCAGTTATACTGCAAGTGAATTACAACTCAAACATCAACAGAGCTGATCTCCTGATTTTTGAAAACTCGGCGAGGGAACTGAAAGTATGAATAAAACTCGCTGAAATTGCTGTTAAAACTGCAACATTAATGCAGCTCTTAAATTAAGTGTTGTTCGTTTAATATTGTCTTGCTAATGTTACTCAGCGTAGAAGCTAGCTGAAATGTGACGAAGTTGTCCCTGTTGAGACAGACAGGCTGACTGAATTACTACGCTGAGTGAAAGTCGTGACTTTATCCGCTTTGTCCTCATTCAGACACATTTTTAATGCGTTTTGTTCTTTTTTTATGTGCAGCAGGCATGTTTTCCCGCTGGTGGAAGTTTGGAAGAGACAGATTCACCGATGTGGACCTCTTCTCAGACGGCTCTGAGTCCGCTGCAGAGACGCTGTCCCAGGCCATCAGAGCTGCTGCCTCCCAGGAGCCGGATGCAGATGGCAGCGTGTTGTTTGGCCAGCTGAGGGGCACCGTGGTCGGGCTCAGATATTACACTGGTGTGGTGAGCATCGGTTCTTTAATCATTACATCTTTGTTGCTCCTTCATGATATCTTTTGCATAGATGTGATAAAAGATATCAGAAAAGGGCAGAATAATTCTAGTGGAAGAATGTAAACTTAAAATAATATTGGGCCATACCTGACCCATGTGGAACAGATTTAGAGTTTCCTGTGTCTGTTTTTACAGGGGCATTTCAATAGGTACTTGACCACATTAGTTAGTTGGAGTGTTGTCAAAATTTCCAAGAAGTTGTTTGTTAAATCAAAATTTGATTTGGAATAACATTAAAAACATTTTCATATGTTCTCAGGATTTTGCAGTTAGATAAGAAAGAAAGAAGAAGAAAGTTACAGAACAGGCTGTTTACCTCACCATACATACTTCCCATTAAAAATATGATCAACCTTTAAGTTTTAAAAAAAAAAATCTGGATCAGATCTCCAATTTTTTTCTTTCTCTAGTGAAGAGAAAGTAAAGGATTTTCTTAAACGCTTTGCTCTCCGGACAGGTGAACCGAGGGGAGATGGTGGGCTTAGTACGGGAGCCCCACAATCCATACGACAAGAACGCAGTGATGGTCACTAACGTGTTGGGCAGACAGGTGGGACACATCAGGAAGGAGCTGGCTGCAGCCATGGCGCATGTTATGGACAACAGCTTGGCTAAAGTAGAGGGGTGAGTTGTGATTGGCAGAATAACTTTAGTCAAAGATGGTCAGTCGGTTTAAGCTGAATGTGCATGTCGTTGTCAGGGTGGTTTACTCAGGGACCAACAACAGCTTCTCCATGCCGGTCACGCTGTCGTTCTTGGGGAGCGAGGAGAACAGGGACGCCGTGGTGAAGCACATGGCGAGTCGAGGGTTCAGACTGGACGCGGACGGAGGCGGAGCCGCAGGTACACGCTCTCCTCTCGGTGATCTCGTCTTCTGTACGCTGACTTCTGGTGAGCGTCGTTGACCTGACCGCTTACAATTTCAGGCGCAAAGGGGAGATCTTTTGGCAGCCCGGGTTCCTCGTTTTCCTTCAAGAAAGGCGTCACCATCCCACTGACTGCAGAGGAGGTGATGAAATTAGAGTTATACGCTTGACTGAAGCTTAAAGGGCAAGATCAGGAAAGATCCTGATACTCTGGAGTCGGGCGTTGTGTTTAGTTGTCATTTCTGCTGCCTGTTTCCAGTGGTATGAAACATTTATTTCAGTAAAAGTGTGTTTTCAGTGTCAGAAAGCTCTGTTTGGATGCCATATTTGGTAGAATATATTGCTTTAAGTGTGGTGAATGCAAATTCTGCAAGCTAATAATATATCTGGCTTGTTGGATGGGCTTTCACTGCCCATTCTGTATGCGCATTTTAACTCTTCAGAGCCGTATATGTTTGATAATGAAGGAAACAAGCCAAGGAAATCCCTGTCAATCATAGCTGATATCACCATGGCAACATTCAGCAATAGTGGCGTTTCATATTTCTTTTTGTCTTCCAGTTAAAGAATGCCTTCGATAACTTATTTGAGGATTTGATGGAGAGCAAAGATGGGGAGAAAGAAGCAGCTGAGGTGAGTTGTGTTGTTGAAAGCTGCCCTGCACTGTTACATAAAATGGAGGATTATTGTTATATTCAGCAAAATCTGCTTCACTTTATGAATGTTGTATTCCTTGATTTTTTTTAAAAAGTTTTACATTTTTTCCTCTCTGCATGATTAACATCTAGATTAACATCTACAAAATGTTGCAAAGGTATCTTGCACCGATCGACCGGCCCAGATCTCTTTAGTTTTTGGTAACTGGCTGATACTTGCATGTGAAACCTAAATCTCAGGACACTTTGTTGCCGTCAACTCACCTTAAATATTACAGTTTTGTCAAATCAAAAGACAGCCGTGCTGTTTATTTTTGGTAAGAGGCTTAAAACACGTATGCAGATTATCCTGCTCTGCAAATTTAGTTTGTTTGTAATATGTGCAGCTAAAACAATTTTGCATTGGTTCTCCGGTATTGTTTAGTGCTTTTCAATAAAATACGATCGTCGTATTGGAGGTTAATCGTGACCTTATAACGAGTGATGGTGTCGGATATTAAAAAACAATCTGAAACGGCCCAAATCGGGTTTGGCAGGTCGGGCTTTTTAAAGATCGGTGATTGTTCAGAAATCTGTAACAGATGCAGTTAACTTGTTCTGACTTCACACAGGTGGATGTGATTTATCAGGTTTAGGCAACTTTTGATCTTAAGGGGATTCGAGTAAATGGGTCCGAGTGCAACGCTGCTGCACAGGAGTATTTAAAAAAAACAACAACAACAAAAAATGAGAGAGAGGTACTGTGAGTTTGTCTGTGGACACATGGCTGGCTGTATGTGTCTGCAGTCTGTGGCCACGCCGCTGCTGCCTCACCAGAAGCAGGCGCTGTCCTGGATGTGCGCTCGGGAAAATAAAGACGTGCTGCCGCCGTTCTGGGAGAAGCGAGGCGACCTGTACTACAACAGCCTCACGTGTTTCTCCGCCAAA